TATATATATATATATATATATATATATATATATATATATATATATATATATATATGGTATCACCATAAGACCAATGTATTGATCCCAGTCATAGTCGGGACGCCAATCCAAGAAGAAATCAACATAGTATTTAGTGTAAGCCACAAGACTGTAAGCAGCAGAAGCCTATAGTCCTTTGTACTACATTATACTAGATACCTATATAAGAATATGCTAATCTGTGTGTATTTATGTGCGTGTTTGTTGATTTTTCCTTGCACAAGCACATGTTCCCCCCCCCCAGTAAATTTGACATGTCTCGCGACCAATAAGGCTTCGTATTCAACGGTGATCGTAAATAGTTGTACTGAATTATAAAACAGGGTATATATGACAACTCAAATGTCCAGAGAAAATTGAATGATACCAGAAAATACCAAATCATTTTCGGATATGCCATGCATTTTATTCTAGTATCGGCCCAATTTACAACTTGCACAGACTCCTCGACCACAAATACATTGTCCCGTTATCTATATCCACCTCAAACCGGCGAGGAGTACAACTTGTGTTGTACAATCGAAACAATATTAAAGTGTCCATCTTAAAAGTATATCCATTTGGGTCTTGTATGGTATTTGCACAATTTGAATTTAGAGATTCTTGAAATGGCATAGTTCTAACCGCCATTACTGTAGGTGCGCCATCGGATATTATCCCTCCTTCACGGCGCATTCCTTATAGCACCTTTGAGAGTTGCTTCATCTGCTTGTTCTGTGTGGACGTCAGATCAGACTCCATATGTGATATCTTCTGCGATATATGGAAACGTGTATGCATCAAAGCATTATTAGGAGATGGTATCATTGGGAATATAAATCATAGTTGCTAGTGCGGATAGATGAGGGTGTTTGTCTAAGCAGGTAGATCTGTAGAATACGAGAGAGGCCTTCATATACGAGTTAAAATTGCGTGCCAAGATTGCAAAATATTTCATTCGGACTACGTCATGATCCGCATCGAGCTCTTGGCAAGTTGTGCTCGAGTGGACCAAACGCGAGCACCCCACCCGTCGCATCGCCACATTACACATTAGCACCTATGTGCGAACATAAAAAAGAATACAAGACCTACGTACGTGTCACATACACAGACAGAGAGAGAGCAGCTACTGTGCAAGCGTATCAAAGTTTTAGCGAGATTGAGCGGATTGTTAACCACACGCACCTTCTGAATCTGGTTCAGAGCCAAGAAACACGTGCGACACTATACAAGGGAACACTGTACTTCACTTCTAAACGCAGATACAGTACGTTGCGATAGGTATGCAACGATAGTTTGATAGTACGACGCGTACTATCAAACGTGTACAGTGTACATGCGACTACGAGGAGAGCCAACATCAGAGACATCGGGCGGAGAACATGTCATAGAGTGACAACAGATCGGCAGGTTGCCATACCTACCTTCTACAAATTATTGCCAAACCTACCTTCTGCATCTTGCCCAGGTCTTTCAGATGTTTCTGGAACTGTTGGTCCTTGAACCGAGACAGCCGATCATTCGCATCGTATATACGTTGCTCAATCTTCTGGCCTCTGAGCGTGAGTGTGTCTATATATGACACCAATCCTTCAATGTGATGGTTGCAGTGCGTGAGGAGGTGCGCCTCTAGTTTGTTCTGCGGTACAGTGTTGCATTTGCCCAGGCGTCGGTAGGGGCAGGGAATAGGCTTACACACACACGAACCCTCTAAGTGTGCAGACATAACCTGTGGATAGGATGGAATGATAGGTGAGAACCTACGCGTGTCTTGTGGGTAGATAAACCTAAAATTGCATGTGCATGTAAAATGGTATCTGTCGATGTTATCTCCTGAATACAGAGTCCACGACCGTGCTGTATTTGCCCAGTCTCCCGTAGCGACAGGCGATGTGTGTACACGCACGTAAACCTTTACAATGTATCGCCATAACTTAAAAATATAAATTTGTACTACGCCATTCATTATCATACACATACTTGGTCCCCATAACCTATGAATATAAATTTGAACTATGTAATTCATAAATATACGAATGGTTCCATGAACATACACATTGAAACGTTTTCGCATAGTCCGGTTTATGTCTCTAGCTGACCTCTCTAACTGACCTGTGTCTGTCCACAGTGTCGCGGTCACAGGGTGTGCGAGAAGTTGTGTGTTTGGCATGCTGTGTCGCACTGCGGCGCAAGTACTGCAGTGCAGCGCAGATACTTGTCCAGCTAACAAAAACAGTAAAATATAAATTCGTGTTATAAAACAGTTGTGACTCACATACACACCGCCCGCAGGTTTCCTCGAGTACATCCCTTGCCGTACGTGAAGATAGTATATATATAAAGTCGTTGCATATGTAATTACTTGCTGCAGACTACGCCGAATACACACACATATACAAATAGAAGAGCTATGGAATTTACAGTGCGGGCACTTTACACGCACCAGTGTTGAATTACAGAACAAACTCGTACCATCAGGACCAAGCATCACACATATGTGAAGCGAGCAATGTCACACACTCACCCCGCGCACGCACTCGTAATCACAGCCATTTGGGCATGGTATGATCTTGAACTGGCACTGCTGGTCGTGTTCTTTTAAATGCAGATACGACACCGTCCGCGTACACCCTGCAGACGTGTGGGTGTCATGAATCAGTTGCAATTGACATAGTTTGAGATTCGTTGACGCATTTTGACTTGTGCAGCTGACTTAAAGCATTGATACATGGAACGACTTTGTTCTGGCATTGCAAGTTGTGGTGCTTCAGATGTGTACATAATAACATGAATTGAATTTGTTCTGGTACTGTATGTTGTGGTCCTTTTATGTGTGAACGCTACTGGTTGCGAATTTCTTGCTGACATTTGACAGGTATTTAAAGGTACATAGTATGTTCTTAGTACAATTTGAGCTTAGATGTCGTATTTTGTCACGTATGAGTGTGAAACTGTTCGCGAACATCCTGGGTACATGTAAGAAATACAAAGGTGTGTACATATACACCTTTACAAGCAATACTGATATCCTATGTAGACAGTAATCACTACTTACATGCACATATACACCCATTCTAAACAGTACAGACATCCTCCACATGCATCCGAATGAGAGTTCGTCATGTCCAGACTTACTATCACGGACAGATACTTCTATACAAAACAACAGTCTGTGCAGCATATTCACCATACCCTTGTGTTCGCAAACCAATGGCCTGAAAGGGCACTCAGTCCAATGCTCTGATTTCTTCGCACTCTCATCCTCAGCGAACTGTTGAAGACACGCTAACCTACCGTCCCCTAAGTCCTGTAGGACCTCGGTGGCGAATGTGGGCCTGAGAATGCAGAAGGACGCCGGATAAATATATGCATACATATAACCATAAATTACTGTATAAAATTGTAATAATACAATACTGTAATAGTACAATAGTATATTCATAACGCTAAAATAATATGATAATATATACATAATAATATATTTTTAAATGTATACACACAAACACACACAGACACAGACACAGACACAGACACAGACATAGACACAGACACAGACACAGACACAGACATATATACATACATACATATATATATATATATATATACATATATATATATATATATATATATATATA